AAAAAAACATGGTTATGCTATTTATCACTATTGTCAGGTCTTGTTTCTAATTTTTAAATAATTTGTATTTTAATGGAAGGTTGTATATTGTAAAATTTGAATTTGCTTTATTACAGTACTAAAATCATATAAAATAAACGTAAAAGTAGACTTTAAAATTTATTTTTCATTTTTTCTTCGTTTAACAACTATTTTATAATCCTAACTTTGCATACAATAAATTATATTCACATTAAATTGCTTCAGCTCGGACGAGCTAAATCGTCAGTCATGCATAATTTGAAATAAATGACTCCTCGTTATACAAAATTGAGATCTCTCAGAACTTTCGCTTGCTTGAAGCATTCTTTTAGTGAATTTGTATACAAATTAACTTTTTGTATTTCACAAAACGTTTACAATATTTGCGATATAATATATTACAATAAACCATCTGATCAATATTTAACATTGCTGCAACTGATCTTGCAATTGTGAATATCGTGCTTGCAATACACGTTCTCGTTCTGTTTGTCTATTAACATCTTCCATAAGCGCATTTACTCGCCTCGGTACAGCTGCTTCTTCCTGTGTTTGCAAAAATTTGAAAGTTGAGAGTTCTAGATGTGCTTGTTCTATTTGTTCCCATAAATCATGTAATTGTTTCGTTAATACTTGTGCCCTAGTCTGCCACAAAGAAACTTTATACATTAGTCACTTATATTTACAACACATCATTTAAAATTAAAACTAAAAATATGTACCTGGTAACCTCCAGTAAGAACTTTTAATTTCTTTTCCATCCTCGCTGCCCGTTTTGCCTCACCTGTCATATGCATACGATTTTCTTCCAACTTTCTTTCACATGCTTCTACTCTATCCTTTTTCGAAGCTAATGTTGCTCGTGTATAACGTTTTTGTGTTTCCAAATATAATATCTGACCGAATATATTAGTAAATAGAAATATGACTTCAAATATTAGAAGTATGAAATATGTGCTAGTACCTGTGATAAACACTCTTCCCATACAGTTGTATAGGAATCCAAACTTAATTCTCCATGTGCCATACCTTCTTTCACCACTGACATTTCGTCAGACAATAGACTTTTGGCCTAAACATGATGTTCATTGGAATGAGGATATGTCATAAATCCAAAGTCTATCTAGTACAATTAACTTACAGCAGTGATTTCTTCTTCTTCAAAGTTAACATATGGATGTTGATCTAAATAAGCTTGCGCTTGAGCTACCGAATTTGAAGCACCTTTACGATTTTGCTGCATTGGATTCTGTAGTGCATCATATTGGAGCATCGTGATCATTTCTCTTTTAATTAATTCTTCCGCCTAAAATGAAATATTCACTACCAATTAACATATGATAATCATATATACACATTATATGTTCCTTAATTATACGATCATACTCTTTGTAAATCCGTTAATGGAGTATCCATAAATGGCCGCAAAATATTCATATTTACATCCACTGGTCGTGGTAAATCTCGTTGTATAACTTGGGATCTCCTAGATAATTCCTTTTTCCCTATAAAATATTATTACACAAATAATTTCTAATAAAATATATACATTTATATTTCAGCACAATCTTATTACGCACTTTGTTCTATTAACTCCTGCTGTTGCCTAGCATCTATATCAGCTTGATCTTCAACGATTTCTGTTGTAGTTGAAGTAGTATCTTCATCCTTTGTTTCTCCTTCAGGAACTACTATTTCATAGTCATTACGAGGTGTTGGAAGCGCACTCAAACCAGCACGCAATTGTTCTTTTACTTGTTTTTGAATTAAAGGAGTCTCTGATCCATCCAAGTTTTCATCTGGATTAATACTGAGTTTATCACGAATCGGTGTAGTTGCTAGAACTCCGTTTTGTGTTCGTGTAGATGCTGGTGTATTAAATGAGTTTGCCGGTGTTCCGTCGCTACGTTGTGACCGAAAAGGTGTAGCCAAAATTGTGTTTGGAGTTGCTACGGCATTCGCAGAGGGCACGACACCAGTAAAATCCGAATTAGTTAGCGGAGTATTTAATCCACCTAGATAAACAATAAAGCGAACAAATTAATATCTTGGGTATATTCTTGCTAAATACTATTACACCAACCTTTCAGTGGTGTATCAACATGAGTGAGAGCCATAACATTTTGAGCTTCTTGAAGAATTCTATCCGCAGCAGCCGGAGTACGTGGTGTCACAGCTGCATTTGTCGGTAAGGAATAATCAGCCAATAAACTATCTGATAATGTAATACCACTTTCTGTTGCAACTTCACGCGCAACCTATTAAAGATATAAAAATATAAAATTTAAGTTCTTACACATTTTATGTGAAATAAGTAAGTGAATAAACGATTTCAACATGCCTCTGAAGCTCTACCAAGTTTAACTACTTGTTGCAACTCTTGATCAGATATCTGTGGTTCTGGCAAAACAAGTTTACTTCTTTTCTTTATTGGTTCTTCATTATTTAACATTCCCATTGGAATATCGTTTTCTTTACGTTGTTTTAGTTTTTGCTTGTCTTTTCTACGTTCCATTTCTTCTTTTTCCTGCCTCAATTCACCATCTAAATGTTGTTGCCTCATTTTTGAGAAATCAATGGCAAGTGGATCTACATGCTCATTAGCTATATCATAAAATCCAGGTGCTGGTCGTTTCTCAAATGGAATTTCAGAATTGTAATTAACTCCACGTTTACGTTTATTCTTTTGTGATACAGTAATACCAGCTGCTCTCAATTCTCTACGTTTTTGTAGAGCAGCAAGGCGGCGAGCTTCTTCCAACTGTTTTTCTCTGGCTTTACGTTTGGCTTTTTTACCCTGAGTATTTGCAAGCCTAGCACGTGCCTCAGACAACATTTCCAATTCTGAAAATTACTAATTTTATTGTTCTTACATATAACAAAAAATAACAATGTTTAAAATGGAAATCTTACCATCTTCGTCCATATCTTTAGGATCAGGCCTGGCTGGTTTTGTTTCTGGATTTGGATCAATTTCTCCTGGTTTTAACTTGCGAGGGTCATCTGCAGCATCATCTCCTTCTTCTTTCTTTTGAGCTTGATCCCTAATGTAAAAACAAAGAATATGTAAAACTTATTCCTAAGAACATAGTAGTTCAAATTTATGGAACATACTTGACTTACAATAAATATTCATAACGTTCTAAGCACTGTGCAGCTGTACGTCCAATAATTGGAGCAATTGTTCTCCATTGTGTAGGCATTAATTTTGCAAGGTGAAGAAGTTTTTCATCTTCTTCTCTGCTCCATTCTGTTTTCTTGATGCTTGGATCTAACCATTCAAACCAACGTGCTTTACATTGTTTAGCAGATTTTCTGTGTAAAAGAGATGCTATCCGACTCCATTGATTTTTGCCATATTTCATAACAGCAGCTTTTAAAATTTCATCCTGAAGAAACAGTGTTCATAGAGAAAATCACCTTTCATAATCAAAACTTAGATATTAGGTTAGAAATCAAATCTTACCTCAGTGTTGCGCCAAACACCACCTTTTATCATAATACGCGGCATTTTTTATATATTTTTTATTGTCAGTCAAGGAAGAAACTAAGAATGAAAAATTTTCGTTGATTATCTCTATTTATTTAACAATTAGTAAGAATTTCATTAGAACTTCAAGCTAGCGATGGTAACGCTCAACTGAAGCGGTCGATGCGATGCCAGAGGCACCAGTAAAAAACAGCGATAAGTAGTACTATTCCAGTCTTTCAAAATGCATAGAACTACGATTATTAGTATAGTTTATTACAACTATATTAACTACTTTCTTATATTAATTTTATAATATAAAATAAGATGAACACGTTTCATATGTGCCAGACATACGAATTTATTATTATGCAGGAGACAATAAATAAAAAAATATGTTTACTGATAAATTACAGCCGTATTACAATTTTGATTATAGATACCTTACAATACATATCAATAAATAAATAATACATATATCTGGAAAACAAATATATGAATTTATTATGAATAAACTACTTTTCATATGTACTATTCCTGTACACATTGCTTTTCAAGGATTACATTTATACAATAAACATATGTGTATATTGCATTATGATTAATATAACGAAGATTAAACTAAAAGTTTTCTGTTTTATTAGGTTTTTTCCTGGTTCTTTATATTTAGGAACCACATATTTTTTATGTATGGAAAATTTTAGTTCTAATATAAATCGATCCAATATATGTATATTTACAGTTTATAATGTAAATCTAAACACTTCACTTATTTACACATAACTCTACAATCTGGCTAAATAACTAATTTAATAATAATAGATCATTTACAATATCAATATTTCTTTTTACACTAAGTGAGCAGTAATGCTCAAATTACTGATATTTTATTAGTATTAACTTTTCAATTAAATTGCTTTAAAAATACCAAATATAAAGGATTTTTAAGGATTTGTATTAAGTATATTCCTAACCATATCATCCGCGTTATGTTCTACTTATTTTTTCTTCTACTCTTTTATATTCTATTGTGTTTTTACTAATAGTGCTATATAAATAAATGTCTCTACATAAATAAGTTTATCTATAGTGAATATATTCAATATATAAATCAGTTCAATCGCTGAGGCAGTGAATTAATTATTATATTATTCATAATATTACATTTAAGCTGTAAACAAATAAATAAAAGTTTAGGCATGGGTGAATTATAAATTATTCATTCTTTATTTAAAAAATTAAATTTCATTTAATCTAATTTAAATGAGAATTGATTTACGTATTTACAATATATTAATAACATATTATGTTAGCAATTCCTTTTTTCATTATAAATTTGTCGAATATTCATATTAATTATCCTAATGTATAAGTACACTAGAAGTACCAATAATATATTATAGCATTAGTATAAGTACCATTTACATCACCTTCATTGATGATATGTAAAAAATTAGTATTAACTTAAACTTTGTGAAGTTTGTTTTTGAACTTCAAGGTTTCCAACTGAGGAAACTGTCCTGTATAACTATTTGCTTAAATATACTGTGTATAATAGATTGCGGAGCTTTACGATTTCGTTGAGCTTCTAAAATGTATGAAACTTTTTCTCGTGCTTCACTGCGAGAAATATCACCTCTGAGACCTAATAATCTGACCAGATGATCCTCTGTCATGTCTGGATATTTTTCAACTAAAGAATGTAAATCAAGAGAAAGAATTTCGGAATCTTCACAACGTAATACTTCCGCAAGACGTTTAATTATCTCAAAGGGAGAATTAAAATTTCCTACTTTTGGAGCTATTCTATCAAAAAAATGTTTCAGTTTATCTGCTTCTGTCATTATTTTTGATGTACATGTTAAACATTCATCATACGTTTTTAGAGATATTTTTCTTTGCAGCATTGCAGAGATATAACGTTTTGCAATGAGATTTTGTGCTTCTGTAATAACATATTCAAAGTTTCTTGGACACAGATGATTGTAATCTTGAAAGTAGTCTTCTAAAGTCACACAAATGGTTTCTACTGGGATGGAAGATGATAACCATTTGGGTGTAATCAAATCTTGAAATTGCAATTCTAAATCTAAGAAAGATTCTTCTAGTAGTATGGCTGCAGCTTCATTTCGTAATTGTTGATAATTTGATAATAAATTTTCAAATTTAACAGTAGCATCTCCACTAGCATTAGGTACCCAATATAATTGTTTCATTTGCTGTGCTAATTCTGTAAATTGTAAACAATTATTGACAATTGTAATCATATGATGTGTAAAGTAAGGTACTTGACTTCTATCCTCAAAATGTTTGCTTTTGAATTCCAATATTGCTTGTCTATACATGAATCCATACTTAATCACTTGTTCAATACATAGAACTATAGCTTGTGCTGTTAATTCAGAGCTAATTGTTTTTGTAACTTGAAGATTTTGATCAATCATTTGAAATATAATCACAGGTGCTGCTGTGTGATAGTACGCTTCTTGAGTAGTCCCTTCTGGTAACACTCCACACCACCAATCCACTTTTTCAGTTTCCAAAGTTTTCTTCATCCAATCCTCATAATTTTGACACATATTTTTCAAATACTTTTCTTGAAGATCATTCACAATTTCAGTGCTTAATAAAGGACCAATGTCACTAGTATCAATATTTAATTCAGAATGTTGCATCAGCTCTGGTCCAGTATAAGTATTCATAATCCATGCTAACAAAGATACGTATTCATTTCCTTCTAAACCATTGGCAATTATGTCCTTCAAGTGTTGTGACAAACTTGTATGATACATTTTGACAAAAGTTCTGACAATGTTATACCAAGGTGGAAAACAAGGTTCACAAAGAGTTTTAACAACTCTCAAGTCTTCCAGGATTAAAAGTCTTGTAAGCTCTAAATACCTAACTAACCACATTTTATTATCTGCTCTTTCTTCAACATGAGTCCCTTCAATTCTATTGGCTACAGATTTTTCCAAGACTTTCATTGCCATATTTTTCCACAATTTAGGTCTCCCTGGTGGCATGAATCCACTTTGTTTATGTCTTTGAATAGCAAAATGATCTGCTTTCTCTTCTCTTTCTATAATTCTCAATGCTGTTACAATAACAGTAGGTTCTTTTCTGACTGTGTTTAATGTACGACTCATTACCAATCTTATCTGCTTTTCCATTAGCTGTGAAAGCATTTCAACATCTTCTAAATAAGCTTTCAACATAACAGTATCAGCTGGTGATTGATTTGGAAGTTTGTGAAGTTCATATAGCAAATCATCTCTTGAGTTTTCAAGATCCATAATGATCTGATGAGCATACAGAAGATTACCTTGATTTATCCATTGTTTAGTCATTTCAACACTTTCAGGCAAAGTAAATGTATGTTTCAAATTTTCTTTGGCAGTAACATATTGTGAATGACGCATATTTTCTTCTTGAACAGCTTGTAATTTTGCACTAAGTTCTGGGATCTTACTGAATAATTTAATAGTATTGTTCAAATCTTCTTTTATAGAAGCAATACTCTCTAAAGAACTTTTCAGTTGTTCGAAGCCTACATGAACTCCATCTAATTGACTTTGCATTGCAGTTTTGAGCATAGTATCCACGGAAGCTTTCTTCCGACTTATTCTACGTTTGTACATATCAATTTTTTCCATTTGACCTGGTCGTTGCATCAAATTAGACACATATTTTGCTCCCCTTGCCTTAGCCTCTTCCTCCAATATTTGTAGATCTTCCATTTTTAAAACTATCTTGTTAATTTAAGTTACTGTATAAAATTAGTCTTTATACAAAAAGGGAAATGACATATTCTAATTAATTAGATTTGTTTAAAAGGTAAACGTGCAAAGCTTATTTTGACATTTGCAAAACCTTGGTTAGGTATATATTTTAGGACACGTTTCTATGAAACAGTTGTCTTGTCAATTTGCGTCATGCAAACATGCCACAGTGCTTAAAATGCAACTTTGCTTCTGTGCAAATGCACATTGACGTACTTTAACTCTAATGAAAAAGAATCATTCAAACATTTAATTGTAAGAGTAACAATTCAAAGAAGTTTTTGTTGTTTTATACCAATAAAAAAGTTTACTGTGTAACTTATACAGTTAAATATTATAAATGCATTCGTTAAAAAGAATATTGGGAATAATCAATCCATACTACAAACATTCTCTAAAAAGATGTTTAACTTCTAAGTCGTGTGAGAATGTAGAAGTCGAGGCAGAGCAAAAAGGTTACTTTTTATTTGTGGTATTATATTTATATTTTATAAAATGTAGCATATTCGTTTGTCATGTATAATTCTCATCATACGTTATTTCAGAAAAAAGTGTTATAACCGAACATTTTGAAGAGGTTACTTTAATTGGTATAAACCGACCAGAAAAAAAAAATTGTCTAAATGTTGCAACCGCACAACTACTGTCAGATGAGATAGATAAATTTGAAAATGACGAAAAGTGTGCAATTGGTGTACTTCATGGTATAGGAGGAAATTTTTGTAGTGGATATGACCTTGCAGAAATTTCACAGTACAATGGAGAAAATGAAGAAGTTTTACCACAGTTTGGGCCATTGGTAAATTAATAAATTTTGAAAATTTGATTATTTTACATAAAAGTATTTAACTGTTATTATATCAACCAATATAATGTGTAATATTTATAGGCTAATAAAATTGATTTATGTAAAAAACCCTTAATAGCTGCTATAAGTGGATATGCTGTAGGTGTAGGGTTTGAACTTGCTTTAATGTGTGATCTAAGGGTAATGGAGGAAACTGCAGTAATGGGATTTTTAAATAGACGTTTTGGAATTCCTATCTTATGTGGTGGTACTGTTAGATTGCCAGCTTTAATTGGGTATTCAAGAGCAATGGATCTCATTTTAACTGGACGTGGCATTGAAATAAAAGAAGCATTTTCATGGGGTTTAATTAATCGTTGTACAGCTACTGGTACAGGTACAATTTTATTTGCAATAAATAACAATAAAATATATAAGAACAATGTAAAATATAGTAAATTAACATTTATTTGTATTTACAGCACTGGGTGATACACTGAATCTTGCAAAATCATTTACAAAGTTTTCTCAAAGAACATTGCTTGCAGACCGTGCTTCTTCACACTATGCCACATTTTCTGCCAAACAATTAGAAGAAGCTATACAATTTGAGAAAGATAATGCATCTCATTTACTATTTGAAGAGGGAGTTAAAGGAGCAAAAATGTTTGTTCATGAAGGAATAGGAAGACATGGAAAAACCTACAATCTGAAATCAGTAAATAGGATGTTTAAGGAATTTGATGAAAAACTTTTATAAAAATTGTATATAGAACATATTCTCTTTCTCTTTCTGTAAAGGTTTTGTACATAGATAAATATATTAAGGTATAAATGTATTTTGTAAGATAATTAAATACTTCTATTTTAATTTATCATAATTAGAATGTCTTTCTGTTTGTATTACTGCCTTTCTTCAAAGAAGATTTAGACGAATTTTTTTTTAGCAAAGTGTAAGGTCTTAACAGGATTTCAGTACACTTCTTTGCTGCTTTTCCAGTAAGGAGTGGTGTGATATTTATGATTTGACCATTTGTGTCTCCTGCATAATTAACATTTATTGGAAGTACTATTTCATATAATACATAAAACTTACTTTCAAATGTAACTATTAGATATGTTAAATCTGCTTGAAACACATTAAAGCCAACTGTATATGGTTCAAAAAAGGAAACTTTCCTTAATTGGTAATTAATTTCATCACATAAATCAAATTCAACTGTAAATGTTTCTTTCATTACAATTACTAAGCAACTGAAAAGTCAGAAAGCTTAAAATATATTTTCTGCCTACCTGTATCATCTAGTCCCACTACATTTCGAATGTAATTCAAAATCAATTTAAGTGGACAATTAATATTTACTAAAATTTCTTTATCTACTTCCTCAAACAGTGTACTTTTCTCATTGGTATTAGAAGGAACTACAAAGTAAATATATGTACGTGATACAATGTTTATTTAATAAAGAACATGTGGCAGGAATATTCTTACTAAAGTATCTGATTCGAATAATCGACGTCATGGATATATCTAACAGACTTTGGGACATCGGTACCAATATGCGAGTGGTACGAAAGGATACGAACGAATTGGCATCAATTCGTTCTACGCATTCTCTCCGAGAATGATATCGCGTGTTACAAGGTTAAAATAATTGAAAGTCACTCGATATTTCATTGCTGCTCGGTATTCAGTTTCTATGTCGAATGCTCGAGTTCGATTGCAAATCATAACCCCTAAAAAACTGATACGTTGAAAGTGGAAAAGTGACTAATTTGCTTGCGTTGCGTTATGCATTCAAGAAATATTTCGTTCGTATATCACAGTAGTGAAATTAGAGAGAAAATTGAAACGATAAAACCACTCGGTGTGTTTTAATCTATAAACTTCTCGTAATTCAAACACCTGTGCATCGTCAACTCAACAAGACGCGCACTCGATGCACTCCCGACGACGAGTCGCGGTCAGATTTCGTTCGGATTGTTGTCTACGCGTTCATTGCACTGGAATTTCGAATAATCATAGAATTTCATATTAAAGTTAAACAACAACGACCGTCCACAGGCTTAATTGGCGAAAGTAATGCGAGAACCGGCCAAGCACCACCGTGCCGGTTAAAGCTGTGTGACGAAACGAGTGCAGGTGGCGGTGTATTGTTGCGCAATCGTTCGTATCCCTCCTCTTCCTCCTCCTTCTTGTAACCAGGAGTCAGGACGAGAGTCCCCTTGGTAACCAGAAGGCCCTCCCCACCAGGTGCCTTCCTCCTTGCTCGACCTGGTGAATGTTGCGCCCGCAAATCCACGCGATCACCTCCGATGCTGTTCTTTCTTTCGTTTCTTCCTTCTGTTTTACCTTTCCCAAGGACTTGTTTCTTTTTTACCGACCCCTTGTGCTGGTTGGTCACATTCCAGCCACGTGGTTCCTCGACTGTGTTGTTGATGCACGTTCCTGAAATCTGATCGCGAGCAAGTCAGTTGGGGGAGTTTCTCTTAGGAAAGAAAAGTGCAAAGCCTCTTATATCAGCGAATAACAGGTATAGGTTGCAGTTTGTTTAAGTAATAAATTTCTGACAATAATGTAAGGATGGATTTTTATTACTACAATCGAGTACACACTTTTAACGAAATATCGAATAAAACAAGACGGGGTGAAATAAACTTTCGTAATGTGCATTTTCAAGTGGCGACGACAACAAGGCGCAAAGAGAAAGAAGAAGGATATAAAAAGATAAAAGGGCGGTTCCCAGGATCTTCTTTCTGATTAGCCCCGCTGTACAACTATTTACGTGGCATTTGAGAGGATGATGCCAGAGCCTTTCACGAATCACCAATGTGTTATTGTTGCAGGCGAACTCGCGAAACAAAAGTTCCCTCGGATGGGAGAGGCAAATCGATGCGTTCGTGTTCTCTACGAGGAAGCAAAGTGTGAAAGTCGTGCATCGCACTGCTTCAGATCTTCCTGGTATTTTCTATCGGCTGTTCTCCTTAGAAATCAAACTTTATTGATATTTCAGTACTATTATTCCACATATTTGAAATCTTGTAAATATACACATAAAAGTTTTACTGCGTTCTCGAGATTGCACTACAGAATAATACGTAATAGTGCAATTTTTTAAAGGTTATTTTAATTAATATACTCAGCAATTTACCTATATTGCTTACAAACATTACCTACTCGTCGTATCTTCATTTAAATTCAACAAAATCAAGCTTCGATCCTAACCAAGTAAATCTTAGACCTAATATCCACGATGTGTAATATCGACGATCGCGGCAATGTAACGTCGTCATGACGAATGCATGTCGCGACGATAGCGTGGCTATGACGTTTCGTGGACATTGGGCCTTAATATAATTTCGAAACATAAATACAACGATAAAATGAAACACAGGATACATTCACCGATAAATAAATAATCATTTCACTGAAACCGAAAAATATATTTCTAAACGACGACTTAACCAAACGGAATCTTCGAAACCCTACGGTCACAGTGTGACCGTCACACGCAGTTTCCAACACGCTATTCTTGGCCCTCTGGTGGCTCAATAAAATAACTAAGCTTAAACGACCAGTCTGAAATTGCCTTTTTCTCTAAGTTCGCCCGGGGAAAACGGGCCGCGCGATTTTCATAGAGAACGCGGAAAAAAATCATGCGAGAGTTTCACGGTGTTCACTGCAGCTCCTTTGTACGGTGGTGGCTGTCCATTCTCTACCTGACGGTGATCGTATCTGCATGCCACTTAACCATTACGTTTTACGAGGTAGATGGACATAAAGTGGTTTCCGCTCCTCGTTCAGCAACAGGTTACATCGTCGTCTCGCTTCTCCTGGCGACTGAACGACGAAAGGGAATATTTTCCGTCTTCTATGGGCGCTCGCGTGCGTAAACAGGATCGGCGTATCCGTGAAATTTACCACGGTCGTACCACGCGTTTGGACATCCTGCTAGATAGACAGGCGGCCACCATGACACCATAAACCGATCGGCTAGAGAATTTACGCCACATTCTCAGTCGACTCCTCGATAACCAGTGGAGTATTAGTCGAAGGAAGGAGGGAAACGATGGTCACTGTTGTTGCTACAGGATGGCTTGAAAAGTCGTGGTAAAGTGCAGAGTTAAGGTTAGTTTCCAGAGAAACCTTTTGAAACTTCGATTGTATATGACGATGTTAGGTCGGTAAAGTAGAAATTGAAGTAATTGAACAGAGATTGAAAACAGTTACGATATCGATTTCGATATTCACATTGGAAAACAATATCCGTGAATCTATTTACGATTATTAACTCCGATCCATTAAGTGATTATTACTCGTGGTTCGTTTAAATAGTTATTCGATTGTTTACGAACACGTTGTATGAAAATGAAAACGAGTGTGTCGCGTTCGTCGTGATATCCGGCAAGTTTCGAACCTTTTTTTACCCGTAATACCGACTGGAATGCAGTTTCGTTTTTCGAAAAAGTGCCTTTATGAATGCCGTGGTTGTTCACGGTTGTGTCGCGGTAACAGAATGATTTTTCCCGGTAACAGAGAAACCTTTATTCTCCTTTTATCCATATTCCCTCGCGCTCGATGAATATTGCGCCATAAAATGTATTACGTATCCTTAAACTCGGTTTCGATCGGTCATAAATCCGTTGTAAAATTACACCTTCGATAATACGCGATAATTCGTCGATACTTTCGATGGAAATAATACGATTATAACGTCTTATCCGGTTGAACGTTCAATTACCGCAAAGATGTCTGCCGGAAGTTAAGTTGAGTTAAGGCAGTTGCAAATCGAGACGAAGCAAACTGCACCGGATTCACGCAAGTTAGATTGAGTTCCGTCGAATCGCGGGGCTAACCAGAACGGTACGTAGAGGATTTCGAGCGACTCCACGCGTTTTTTCGGAATTTCACTCTGACGATCCGTGAAACGTTCGAACGAGTTAAGCTTAGTTCAGATAGCGTTAGAGCGAGTTAACACGGGACTCTGGGTAACTTGGAGCGAATTAAAACGATACAGACCGGGGGCCAAAGTGAATTACAACAATTTCGGATAGCTGGTAGCTGGTTTGGATCGTTTTCGACGGATCAAAGTGGCTCTCGCTCGATTTCACCGTGTTCCGAGGGCTTTGGAAAAACGTCGACAACCATCATGTTGAATCTTATGCAATTTGACGCTTGAAATGGCTCGCGTGTGGCCTTTGCAACCCGTCAACGAGCCATCGATCGATGCTCGTTTCCCTGTCGAGCTCGATGGAGCTTTGTTCGCAGCCAGATCGTTGCATTTCGAGCGTTCTCATCCGCAATGAGGAGCGTTTCGAATCGAAAATAAAGAAGGAAACCCGTCTCGATGTCCTTCTTGCTCTCTCTCTCTCTCGAAGAAGAAGAAGAAAAATGATTTCAACGAAATATGATAAAATACGCGTTCACAGATTTCAGCGTATCTTTCGATCGACTTGAATTTTACAAGACAAGTTGAAAGGGGCGTGAAAATTAAAAAAGGTACACGTATCGAGGAGAACCTGATCCGATTTTTCTCGAGGCTTTAAATCGGCCATCACCGAGCCAGTTCTCGCCAGTTTTCTCGCCGACTCGCCTCGAATAAGGAAGCGAGAAACTTTTAAGGGTCACGTGTGACTTGGAGATCCGTATAAAATTCGTATCGACATACGATCTTCGATCTCCTCGTACGCTCTATAACTGCGGTCGATACACGATCCTCCGACTTTCGAGCACGAGGACCGTACTTACGTTTTCCACGC